TCATGTTCTCTGGTTCAGGTGACATGTTTACAAAATATAATAATTACCATATTATGTCATTTACGGTAGCTGTTAAAACGTGACTTTTGGTAACTTTTAATGATGAATAATTATGTCTAGTAGATAGCTAATGCCAATCATCTACTTTATGCCACATAAGTAAAGACACTTACAAGCTATATCCTGATTAATCGGTTTGTCCTGAAATACAGAGAAAGTAAATATCAATGCATTTACATCCTTGGAACAATCTCTTTTCTGAAAAATAACATTTCAATTTTTTTAAACTTCCAGAACATTCCCATATTCTTTGCGAAACAGTCTTAATCTACAAATACCAAAGCATTCAACCACATTTTTTTTACCGTCATAATAAACGTCTTTATTATAACGGTGTACTGTTTTACAATTCATTGCCAACCCATCTAAAAATTGAGTCAAACCCAGTTATTTTTTAGAGTGTTACTACCGTGTCCGTTAATTTTATTTTTGATGGGTGGTAATGGGCATATGGTATGCTTGGGTCATGAATTGATTAAATGTGAATATTGTTTTGTTTAATAGTTATTTTATAGTTTATAAGAAAATCTGTATTTTTCCATGTATATTGCCAACGCATATTCCAACTTAGCCAATGCATTAATGTAAATCTGGCCAAATAAATTACTAAGACTTGTGATTTAATGCGTCTAATACTCTTTAAACGTATATCGGTACTTTCCTGTTAAAGAGAACATTCTTCATTATCGATTATTTCTTTTCGATGTACCGATATTTTTGTTTTCCTTCTTACGATCCATATTCCTTCTGTTTTAATATCAAACGCATTTTAATTGCAAATTAAGAACTAACCTTCTTTTGGCAAAAATAATAGCCTATTGGATTGAGAAATGAAACTATTCTAAATTAAACTAACATAACTAACTAAACTTGCTGTAGGGTAAGTAACCGTTTCAAAATTCTGTTTAATAACATAAAAGGCATATGGGGAATAGGCTATCAAACGGAATTTTGAAATGTTACAGCAATTTTAGTTGGTTAGGTTAGTTTAGAACAGTTTAATTTCAATATTATTTTTTAATTTTTTGTTGATACTGAACAATATTTAATTATTTTTACTGTAGTTGTCAGGTCAGCTGATATTTTTCAATTTGTAAGTATTAATATATCGGATATAAAATAAAATATCGATATACCGAAAAGAAATATCATCGATAATAATGAATGTTCCCTTTAACAGGAAAGTACCCATATATACACTTATATTGTCAATACACAAGACTGTAAATACATTTAAATGACGTGTAAGGGGTGCCAGTACAACGGAATTTGTTTTAAGTCATCACTCAAAGTTACTGATTCTCGACAAATATGACATTTCTTTCTTCTTATTAGACAGTCCTTTCCTTTTAAACGTATGCAATAAACATTTCAAATAATACATTTAATGAAAGCCACCCGATGTAAAATGCAATTACAGTTAATTACTAAACGTAACTAGCTCATCTAACTGACACCCCTGGCTGACTCATTTTACTTAATTAACTGGCTTTATTACAATTAAATTTACATTTAACTCGTCTAAAATTGATACATCTCGACTCATTTTGTTTCTCGTGAGATAAAATCATATGTTCAAACACCAACTCTGCGTTTTAAAACTTCAACAGTGCAATTAATTGCTCATAGATTATATCTATGCATTGGTTTTACGTATAGATCCTTGTTTTGTATACTAAAGACAGAGTTATCGTTGATTTCTCAAGAGTGTTTAAATCAGAAAAAGAACTATGGTTTACTAAGCTAGGAAAATTTAAACGTTGCCTAGGCTTATGAAAACTTCTAAAATAGGCCAAAATAAAAATACTGAACCTCATAATATCTCCACAATTTTTGGGCTTTTCCAGCATATTGAATATACGAATAATACGATATATTGAATAATACGATGGTATTGGATTGCCTACAGAGATTCATAAACCTGCATTAACTGAAATTAGTGCTTCATTTAGAGGAATTTTATCTTAACATTTTTTTTCTGCAACAAAATATCCATATTGTGTATCGCAGTGATTATAATTTACAGCATACACACTAGAAAGGCGTTTTTATGGTATTTTTTGTATTATTCTTTAGAAATAGTTGATACTCGGCAAACCAAAGAATCATTTGGTACTTTCCTGTTAAAGGGAAAATTCATTATTATCGATGATTTTCTCTCGATATATCGATATTTTTATTTTCCGATCCATTACAAATTGACAACAACTAACTGATCTATTTTAGGATAAAATATTCTAAGCTAACCTAACATAACCAACCAAACTTGCTGGACCATTAAAAAATTCCGTTTGGGTTTGTTAATAGAAAATACAAGTTAAACACGGAATTTTTAAATGTTATAGCAAGTTTGGTTAGTTATGTTAGGTTATTTTTTTAGAACAGTTTCATTTCATTATTGTTTGTTGACACTGAACAATATTTATCGCGTAGTTGTCAGCTGATATGTTTCAATTTGTTACTATCGATATATCGAGAAAAAATCATCGATAATAATGAATGTTCCCTTTAACAGGAAAGTACCAATCATTTTTCTTTAGGCGGTCGGTAACACATCCTTCACACATGGAGTCGCCTTAGTTGAAGGTGTAGGGCATTCCTGTAGTTCGATATGATCTTGCAAATAAAAACTTAGTAAGTAAAGACATAGACCTAGCTCTCGAGTAAGTTTCTTTTGTATGGAGTTATTGGTCATTGAAAATTATACATAATGTTTGACAAAAATGAAATCCCGACGTACTACTATTCATATACAGTGTTAGCAAAACGGGAGTGCCGATGGAGACCAGGTCAAGTCCCTTCAAACGCATGCACCCCCACAGGTCTCCATCGGCACTCCCGTTTTGCTAGAGGTATAGTAAGAGGTGTATTACGGATTGGTTATATGAAATTAAATAGACAGCTTATTCGCTTTTCTAAATTGCCTGTTACATGTTTTTAATTATTACATTGTTATGCTGGTGGTAGTTGTAAAACCATAAACAATTTAAATTAATGTCCAAAATTGATCAGTTCTTATTTTATTTATTGATATAATAATAACACAGACTTTTATTGTAACATTTGTGATGGATAAACAAATAATTTTCATTACATTAATCTTACAAAAGTGTGCAATAGTTTAAAAGAAAACACTATGTGATACATCAAGCAAAATAACAAATATTAACGAACAAATTGTGTTGTTTAATTATGTGCACAACGGGAGATACTGCAGTAACGCAATACACGTAATAAGTGCATAGTTTCAGAGTCACATTCCCCGTAGGCCAGTATTTATGTCGGTGATATTTACATCAGAATGAGTGTTTCAAATGTACTATCTATCACGTGGGTTTTCTGTATAAAGTACATATTTTACCAAAATATTGCCTTTAACTGGGCGATAAGCGTATCTGAAAAAAACATCATAATTAATATAATTAGTAGATTATAATGCTTCGTTTTGATCTTACACGCACGTAAAGTAATTGCCAACATTATCGGAAATGAAATAGCCCTATACAAAACAAAACTGTTGAAATATGCATAATATCTTACTATACAAAATTTTAATTTTGCTCTTAACGTTTTGAATGGAAATTCGTACATATATATCACATGTATGTGTATTACCAGTTAATATTGTTAAACGACTTATATCAGTCATACTCGCTGATTTAATTATTACTTAGAACGTACAAATGTCGTATTTCTGTGAAACGCTTGATAGGAAAACAATGTTTTATTACAATAAAAACCACTTAGTTAGTAATAGTTAATTAATTGTAATGAACACATTATGTTATTTAATCATGTAAACAATGAGAGATGATGTAGTGAAGTAAGTTTACGTAATGATTACATGATTTCAAAGTCATATTCCCGTTAAGCCGGACGTAAAGTATTTACTTCAGTGATATTTATTAGCAAGTAAAAAAACCGATTGCAGAAATATCTTAATTGTTAAAATAATCATTTATTTCTAATAGGTACTGTATTGACTAATCTTATTAGAATGCGAAATAACTACTAGCGTAGTCATAAATATACTGGGTGGTTGAAAAGCAACTGCCCCCCCCCTTAACTTTTCAACCATTTGAGAACTGTTTGTTAACGACCTTCGAATGAAGTGATTGACCTTGGGGTCTGATGATGTTTCAGAAGAACCCAAACTGATTGCCAAACAGCAACAACGGTTTATATGCAGGGATACATGCAGGTATTGTAAACCATTATAAGTATAATACAGTAATCCGGAGGCTAAACAACTCTTTGAAAGTTAACAACATCTACACAATTATAACTCATTCCATAACAGTGATTAATTATTAAATTATATTTCTCAACTCCAGGCTACCAAAGTTTTTACTTGAACTAAAATTTGATTCATTTACCTATAATTATAACTCAAACTTTTAAAATATTATAATCTATTCAATTATAGAGGTAATGTGTGTTATATTTGTTGCATTATATAAGCAAATTTTAAATAATTGAAGCAAATCATCTCCGAATATGGTTTTAAAGATTTACACAAAACTGCGAGATGTAACAGAATTTTATTGCGATGTTTGAAGAAAAGTTACGAAAAGGAAATGGAATATAGGATTGATGAACACAATCCAACGGCTCTGCTTGAAAGAACTTTGAGGAAGTACTTCAAACCCTCGTAACGGCGTCGACTGTAAGGTCTTGGTGGGTGTTGGGGGTTGATGAGGGAGTAGAGGAGACAACCCTTACGCATGCTCCCACTTCAGCGCGCGCTAGTCTCAGTAGAGTTTAGCTCGCGAACGATACATTCAATGTACGTGGCCGAATTGGCAGGGTTAAGTGATTGTATCCGTGCAAAATTTGTTTTTCTTTAAAGTTTACTAAAACTTACTCCGTTTTTTTGGTAAAGTTTACCTTCTAAACATTTAAACACTTTTTGCTTTTTAATACGATATCTTGAAGTGAATAATTATTTAAAACTAAATTAAAATGAGTGGCATCTTTACCGCAACTATGTTATTTGTCTTGACCTTCAAGAAGTCAGAATCTATTACTTATGGTAAGTATATTGCGTTTGAAATGTCATTAATTGAAGTTACTTTACCAATATTAGATGAAGTAAAAAGGCAGTTATATTTTTCTTAAGCAAGGCATTAAATACTTCTCTAATCCAGGTAATCGTATTTTTAACTTAAACAAACTTAAAAAAGGTCCTTGTATGGTATTTTTAGATTTATATTCTAATAATTGATTATTTATTTACAATGCTATGGCCCAGTTATTTAAATCATGTTAAATATCTCAGGGATGTGATTGTAGAATTTTTAAATAGTGTATTATTTAATCTTTAATTTGCCAAATTTTACCAGGTAATAAGTAAATTATCACAAACAGCACACGTAAAATTAAATTATTAAGTGACTGATAATTCATACTATTTGAAACTGGCCATTAATTCTAATTATAATTGAACTAATAATTTGAAGTAGAAAATGTTTTGGGCTAGTGCCCATCCAGCCCCTATAAAGGATTAGAGAGAAGTCACGTTTACCGTTCTCACAAACACGTTTTCTCACTTCGTAACATAATGGGTACCGTACTTTATTGTATCACAATAATAGTAACTATATATGCTATGCTATTATATTTACAAACAAATCTAAGTAGCTCATGATATAAAGAACTTTTACTCTAAATTATTGTTAAAATTTTATCGACTTAATATCAGGTTACAAAAAATACAACTGACACATTTCTCATCTTAGCAAAACAATATTACTATCCGAACCATACATTTTTATTTAAACGCAGGAGATCATCATAATAACACTTATTTATAGATTGAGTGGACATATTTAAACACTCCCTTATATTTTTTAATACACCCTTGCAATTTAAATAATCCAAAAGCATTTCAATATTGTAACTCCGAATGGATTTTTTGACATTTCAATAAATACGTCCCAAATTATCTCTTTCTTATATTTCTCGTTCTAAATTCGAGCTTGTTTTATAAAATCTGCAATAGGGATTTTAAGGCAAAAACATGTTAGTAAAACATACTATTGGAACTAGCATGTTAAATAAGCGTTTATTTAAATTTGAAAATCATACTAAGCTTTTAGTTTTTGTAGAGGGTCCTCACACATGGCCAGGAAATACGGAGGCTACTTCGGTCGCCTGTCCCCGCAAGTCAAGAGACAAGCTTTTATTTTCTGGATATGTAAACCAACAGCTTGCGGTTGGTTTCGAAAGGTCACGGCATAGATCACATATACCAGTATATAGACATTGTTGATTAGTGGGTCCTAACCACTGCAACAATTACGCTCTTTTAATTTAATTTCATCTGAGGAATTTAAGATGAAAGTGACGAATTCTAAAGTGTAAGCTATAACAGTCATAGGGTTTTCTCGGTATGATAGTCTTCATCTCAATCAGGTGTTGGCAACCGCCTTTAAATGATAGTACACCAATATAAGGGGAGACTGGGGTAATGGCAGCCATCTAAGGGAGAATATAAAAATAAAGATTTCAGTTCAACAACTCTTTTCTCATAGCTACATGTTTCAAATAATTTTTTGCACCATGTAAAACCTTGGAATGTTAGCAATCTGAACTTTAGGAGTTAAGCGCAACAAAATAAGTCAATAAGTCATTTATTGACTTAAACTACAAAGAATTAACGAATTGTATTCGACTACCATTCCCCCCTCTTGGGTTAATGAGAGTGAGTATTTGTTAAAATTGGTTTGAACCTAAATTAATAGTAAACATGGAAATTAATGAATGCAAAGAGGTTTTTTTGCTTTAACAATACCAAAAGTGTTCTGAATGATGCACCCTGGCAGGAGAGAAAATAATGCTTCCGATGGTCACAGTAGTATGAGAGTATTTTGGTAGTCCAAGCAAATTTAGTTTTCTTTTATCTTGCAAAAAGACATGCTGAGACTGCCGACGTATGTCTGAAACGTTAAATGAAGAAAATAGTTTTGGGTGATGGTTGTAGTGTAATTCAGTGACCCCATTACCCCAAATCTGTTGACTCACGGAATTTGAGCTGGTGGCTGGGGTAATGAAACCCAAATGCATGGTTTTCTATAACATTAACTTGAATCCTTAATCTAGCGTAACCTAAAGCGTACAACTACAGAATTTTATGAGAGATCATACTTTTGTTCAGCTTAATCTCAACCATTCAAAGTATACTTCATGTAAATAACTGAATTTTGAAGCTGATAGAATGTTATAAGATATAGCCTAAAAATCACTCATTTATCAGTAACACGGAAGTCTGTAATGGGATGTTGAAAAGAAACCAGGTAGTACCTACTCAAAAAGCCACCAGACAGAAGCACTTCACAAAACCAATCCACATCAACTACATTCTTAAAATACCCCCGTCACAGCAAACCTGCAGACTAAGCAAATTTCCATTTACCTGGCTGGATTTCTACTAAAATAATTCCAAAACATTGTCAGATTTATTTTCTATCCAAATATCATTAATTTTAGTGAGTATTTAGGTTTGCTGCTACAAGGAAGATATTGAGGTGTGTTTTTTTATTGCAATGTTATATGAAACATACAACATTTCCAAATATGGTTTAAATATATCCATAAACAAGTAAACTACAACAGTGTATTTATTCTCCATAAAAATTACATGAGAATTTTAATTTGCAATTTTACTTTCTCCCCTACACCATAGTATGGAGAAAGTATTGGTTTTCGTCAAAATTTTCGAGTTTGCGTTTTGAGTGGATATATATGTTTTGGGTACGTAATGGCGATTTCCCCATAAAAACCCATAAAATAAAAACATTTCCTAAAAATAGGCCCGAACGATTTTGATAAAAATTTAGTATGTTGTAGCCCTTTAATTTCTGAACGAAATTACGTAACTTACATTTCTGTAAAAATTACGGTTCAAAGGTAATCGTAAATTATGTAATTTTCCCATAAAAGACCACATAAAATAACAAAAAATCTGATTTCAGGAAAAAAACCGGTTTTGATTAAAATTAGTGTGTTATGGTCATTATAATTCTAAACAAAATTTTATGTAATCCCCCATTGATGTATCAATTACGGTTTAGAAGTTATTGCAACTGTTGTGATTTTTTCCTATAAAATATCATAGTTACTCCCACCGCTTACCCATAATAAAGGTTGTTGACAAGCTAATGGAAGAAAGTAGATGTCAGATTGCTGATACCGTTTATTTTAACTGATCTCCGTATGGTTGCTGGGAATACAACAACGCTTCAATACATAAAACTATTTTTTTTCAAGCTTTACTAAATGGTTTGGAGAGAAATAAAGAAATTATGTCTTTTTAGGATAAAAATGGGAGAAATCAAATTTTTCCACGTAAAACCCCCCATAAACCCCGTTCCCATAGTCCGATTATGCTGGTTCGCAAACTCGTTCGAATAAACGTAGGTTTGCACGTTTGTACTGATTTTCATCAAAATCGGATCATTATTGCTCGAGTTATCGTGCTAACGGACACACACACATATATACACATATATTACGTGCATATATATATATATAGATGAATTTGAACGGATGGTTTTTTATGGCCTCTGGGGACCTCAACACGAAAAAGTAAATCGGTCCCACGTCTAGGTCTTACCATGAGACATACAGTAATATCTTTTTTCCTATATAGGAAATTCGCTAAAATGAAGTGACCTTCATTACTCCTTAACTGCCATTACCCCATTCTCCGTAAATAAGATTAATATAGTTGTACGTGCCACACGTTATCGTTGAACCGTATACTTAATTTTTCCAAGACAAGCGATTTGGCGTTTTAGCTTGTTTTCATTCAAAGAACATTTATTAATTTTTCCGGTTCTAATAAATAAATTGAATATCGTACTAGAATATTGTTATATTTAGAATGCAAAACATTGTATTGTATCAAAAAAGAAGAGAATGTAATCTTTGTCATTTTAGTGCATCTACCGTACATATTATCATTGATTTCTTAATGAATATACTTATAAATTATAACGTGATGGTAGAGTTTAGGGTAATAGTTTTTTTAACGTTCACCTTTACTTTGTATTTACAAACAAATCGTTGCATATTAGTACGCTATTATAATCATAGTATTCCGTAGTTTAATGTTATTTTTTCATTATAGATTTCACCCCAAACAAAATATCCACATTACAAGAAGGAGAAATACTTATTTTTCCTTTAGTAATTTTAGTGACCAAATCTAAAATATCACAGCAAAAACAAACAATCTTCAGTTGAATAGAGGAGTTGGTGGAAAACGAGTTAAATTTGGAAACATGAAACCCAGAGTGGCGAAGTACGTGACATTTACGTGTATCTAAAACACTTATTCTCAACCTTTCCTAATTCAAACTACTCTTATTTTCCTTATCCTTATGCTTCCTTATTATCCTTACCCCATTATTATTCTTATTTACTAGTCTGATCTTAAACTCATAACCTATCCTTATTTATAGTAGCCTATGTAGTAAAGGGTATTTTGGCTTACGAAATTTTTGAATAGATATAGGCCTGCTAATACTTTCTTGATATATCGATTCCATAATTTACGATGTTTATAAATATATTGTTCTCTGTAGTCAACAACAACATTGACATCACTTTTCTTTGCAAATATTGGCATTTTAAAATATGTTTACCACTTAATCTGTCCATGCCATAGTAAGAAACATATAAGAACAACACTTGTTTAGTATGTTATACCTTACTGCCACACAGGAGATACTTTAAAGTTGTGATTGAAATATTTCTGCAAAATTTTTCGATTAGGATGAAACCAGTTAACTTATCATATTAATGAGATTTAATAAATCAGTATATCAGATATTTATTGAGAATGAAGATAGTTTATTAACAAAAACGTTATCAGAGATGCAATTGGTAAAAAATATCAAATCACATGTAAAAAATTAAATTAATACAAATGAAACATGAATGATATGAATGAAATGTGTCTTAGCACTTTGTAACATTTGTATTGTTTTAGGAGTAAATTAATATTCTACGTTTAAAGGATAATTATTT